GTCGCAATATGCGTTTTCGCATTTGCATATTATGCAAAACGCATGATGACATTTGCTTTTCCACTACGCACGATCACATGAAATTTGAAGTAATCCTACAATTTGAACAGCTACACAGCAGAAATTTCCAGAGGTTGGCCCTCGAACGTGTTTGTTAAATGCACACAAAAAAACTTCCCTATTTCCTCACCTATGAATACTTGAAATCCGACGTAACTTCCGTAACTTTTTTTGAATCATGTAGATTGCTGGATTTTTGAGCATGTATTGAAAGTCATTGTATTAATTTATGACAGCTGTGGTGGCCAGTCTTAGTTCTTTTAGTTACAAGCATCTGCCAGAAAAAAAAATGCCGTTAGCGACAAAATCCTATGGGAGAACTGTGCAAAAAATACATCGTCACAATGGTAGTCGATGCGCTGGCCAATTATTCGTCTTTGTCCGCGCTCCTGTAATCTTGCCCTATACTTTCATTTCTTACTTTCAAGCAAGGCCGGCTTCTTTTCAGCCAATAACTTCGTCTCCTCCTCGCTGTTACGATCCCACAAAGACTTAACTACTATCTCCGGCCCTTTCCGCTCCCATCACCTCCACCACTACCTCGCCATCCAAAGGGTTTGTCTATAGCTACTCCAACTTGCCTTCAAAATCATCTTAAGCTTGCGTTGACGAAAATACTGGTAAGTGTTTATATTGGATGAAAGCTCTAGCTCCTGTGTTTGTAAAAAAATTTTCATCTGAGTGATTGAGTCGAATTTCCGTGAAGCCAGCAATTCGTATATACTGCAAGAAGCATAAGAAAATATATTTTTGAAGTGCATTTGATCACTTAGTTGCAGGCGCTGGTTTGGTAACACAACGAATCCTCACTCATCGGCGTACCGCAACTTTATTGATGTCAGCATTACGGTCAATGCTATAACAACCATCATTTTGCCCATATTTTTGCTCTCGTTTCTCAATGTTTTACTGTTATGCACATTGCGCAATCGTCGCCATTTACTGCTCGTTTCGAGCAACCAGAGAAGAGAACTGCAGGTGCAGTGGTAAGCAATATATAGTATAAAATATTATGCAAACTTATTCGAAAGA